GCCGAGGCCGCTGCGCCCGGCCCTCCGCTGGCGGCGGCTCCTGCGCCGCGCACTTCGCGCGCGCTCTTATAGCCTCGGCCCAGCGCGATGAGCTCACTGCCCCCGCTCGCCATTGGGCGTGGGTGACGTCGCTCATTTGCATGGTGGGGCGGGGCCAAGCCGCTGACGCCCCCCCTGGCTGCCGTTGCCCCGGTGACGCGCGGTAAACCGCACAACAGCGCAAGGCCTTGTGGGTTGACGTCATGGGGGCGGGTCCCGCGCCCGGACCCGGTTACCCCGCCCCGGGAGCGCAGTGTACGACCAATGCCCCCAGCGCTGCCTCCCGCCAAGGCACGTCCCGGGTGGCGTGATGAGCATGGCCTCCAGCCGCCTGCCCGCCCCCAAGCCCCGCCCCGCATCCGCGCGTGGGGCCCCGGCTGGGCGGGGGCGGGGGCGGTGCCGGCCTCCGGGGACCGGCGGGGGATGGGGCCCGGATGGATAAATAACTCCCTGGCACCTCCCGCTCCACTACGCCTACAAGTGCCTTCGTTAGCGCACCTTTATCCTGGCTCTGTACGGGCTGGGGGCAGAAGGCCTTAGGGAGCTGTTCCCGGTGGCTCCCTGGGCGATTTGGCCAGATCTGCTTCTGTCTCACCTTTACCCCCAAATCTCCGGTCGTGCGTTTGCCCCAGAAAGACGAGGGACGGGAAAGAAGAGCTGCCAGAAGTTGCTGGAAGCGCTTTGATCCTGATACTTTTTACTGAGGAGTCTAAAAGTTCGGAGTCCGACTAACTGGCTTTACAGACGGGAAACTGAGGCTCAGCAAGGTGTGACCAGGCCATAGACCTTTTATTCACCTGGTAGAACCCTGGCCTCCTGCTCCTGGGCAGCCGCCTACATTTTTACTCTGCATCTGCCAGGGTCTGCTGTGGGTCCTGAGGTGAGGGTGGTTGACTATAGGCCCCCACAGTTTCCTCCTTAGCCGCCCTCCCCTTCCCAATTGTTAAGGCAGGAATCCCAGCTGGTAATTGTTAACTATTTAATACTGTTTTGTTATTGTCAATGCTAAATGGGCCTCCCTAAAGGCTGGCTGGAGATGGGATATGAGGGAGGAAGGAGGGAACAACCTATCCAGCACTCCCTAAGGACTCTTGGGACATCTGGGCCTTGCTGACAGCCCCTTCACACAACCCCTCCGTGGCTCCCGCCACACTCAGGATGGAGCCAATTTCTCAGCCAGATGGTGGAGGCCAAGCACCCTTCTTCCACTGACCCCCCTCTAACCTTTCACCTTCTCTGAGCCTTGGCCTCTCAGCCCATTGCTGCCTCAGGGTCTTTGCATATGCTTTGCCCTCTGTGTGATGCTCCCTTCCCCAGTGCAAACTTGTATCCTCGGAGAGGCTCCTCCCACTCACCTTATTTCCATTATAGCCTTGGAAGCACTCAATGACAGGGTGGACCCAAAGTTCCTGGAGGGCAGGGACCTTGTGTATCCTGAACCTGCTGGGTCTCCAACATCCAGTACAGCACCTGGCTCAGTGTTAAAGGAGAACGCTGCCTGGCCTGGTTGCTGTGGCAGTTTCTGGCCTTGGTTTGTCTGATTTGCCTGTGGGCATGAACATTCCCAGCCCCCAACCCCCAGTCTTCTGCCTCCCTGCCTCACCGGGCCCTGCCCCTAACTGGGCTCTGGAGCAAAAAGGCTAGGAAGGAAACTCACCATGAGCAAGAGGTGTGACCTGGTAGGCAATGACCCAGGGTGTGTCTATGTACACACAAATGTCTGTTTGTGCCTGTGTGTATTCATGTATGGATCCCTGTGCCTAGGTGTGTTCACGCATGAGGGTGGGGGTCTATGTGCCTGTGTGAGTCCATGCATATAGATCTGTCTGCCTGTATGTATCTCTGTGCCTGTTTGTATATACATATATGTATACTGGTGGGTAAGTATGTGTCCATTTGCGTACGTTTCTAGGCATGTAGGTTTCTGAGTCCTCCAGACATGCCCTCCCAGGTCCCAACCTGGGCAAAGGGACCCCTAATGGGAGGGGATGCAGCCCCCAGCCTGTTGCTAGCCTTGCTCTGAGACTCCTCTCTGGGCCTATGCAATGGGGCTAAATTGGAGGAAATGGGGCCATGCTTCTCCCCAGGGCAGGACGTGAGTGGGTGGCCTAGGGAGCCTCCACCCTGACCTTGGGCCTTAACCTTGACAAGTGGATGAATGGTCTGGTGAACTATGGGCAGAACCTGCCTGAGCTGAAAGACTGACCAGCAAACAGGCTTTGGGAAATGGAGGCACAAGGAGCCCAAGGCCTGTTACCTCTCTGAGTCTCCATTTTCCTCCTCATGAAAATGGAGTGAATAATCTCACCCACCTCATGGAGTCTTGTGATTTTTGTTTTATTTATTTATTTATTTATTTAAGTAAACTCTACCCCATCATGGGGCTAGAACTCACGACCCTGAGATTCAAGAGTCGCATGCTCTACTGACTAAGCTGGCGAGGTGCCTTGAGTATTGTGATTTGTATTGGATTTGAAAAAATAGTAAGAACTCAATGTTTTCTATAAGTATTTTATCTTATTATTATTATTAGGCCACCCTTAACTGTGTATGGTTATTTGGTCTGGAGTTCCCTCAGCCTGGAGTGCCCTTCCTTATCCTCCAGGCAAGTTCCTACTCATGCTTCAAAACCCAATGTCTCCTCCTCCAGAAGCCTTCCCTAACCTGACGCCCAAGGAGTCCCCCCACCATCTGGCTGAGCCTGCCCACCATCTTTGCTGGGCTCTCTCGGCCCCAGATGGGGGAGGAGAGGGTCCTTGAGGCTGGATAGAGAGGACCTGTCTTGGCCCCTTGCCAGCTCCACTTTTCAAGGCCTGGATCCCTCAGTCTCCACTGCTGTGCACTTGCTGTTCCCTCTGACCCAACGATTTTCCTTACCTTCTCCTTCATCCTAGCCAGGCAGCCCTCCAGGACACTCCAGTCCTGCTCTTCCATTTGGACCAACCCTATCCCCACCTAGTCAGGCAGGTCAAGGGGAGCCCTGAATCCACCAACCAATCATACGCAGTGAACTAGGGACAACTCCCATTCTCTCATTCATTCATTCATTCCCTACACACTGTCTGAGCACCTACTTTGAGCCAAGTGATGGGGACACACGTGAATGACACAAACACCCTCACCTTTCCAGCGCACGGTCTGAAGAAGGAACCTGTCAAACACAACTTCAAGGAGAACGGTGCCCCCTCCATGGGTGGGGGGGTATGTTTTAGAGTTGGGTAATTGGGGTGGGGCATCCCAGGAGGTGATGCTGAATGAAGGAGGAGCTGGAGATAATTTGAAGGCCAAACATCCCAGACAGTGGGAACAGCAAATGCAAAAGCCCTGGGGCAGACCCCAGCTGGCCACTTTGATGGAGAGAGCCGGTGGGGCTGGATTGGGTGAGCCAGGAAAAGCCAGAGGGAGAGAAGGAAAGCAGGCTTCCATGGGAGCCTGGGTGGCAGTGGCCCTGCAAGATGAAATTGAGGGAGAAGTTGATAACAAGGCTCAGCCTAGACCCTGATTTTTCCGCCCTTACTGTCCCAGCAGGTCCACGAGTCTCAGGACATTATCTTACTTCCCACAGCAGCGTCCAGGGAGGGTGCGGGACCTGCCCCAGGGTCACACAGTCCAGGCTGAAAGAAAACTCAGCCCGGTCCCCAACCCTACCCTGGGTTCCGAAGGGAAGCTAAAACTAACCCCCCCCCACCCCTCTCCCAGCCCGGGTTCGAATCTCCGCCCCTCTAGGGCCTCTCTCTAGAGCGTTGAGATTACCCTTCTTGTTTAAAGCAACCAGTGGGGCGCCTGGGTGGCTCAGTCGTTAAGCATCTGCCTTTGGCTCAGGTACTGATCCCAGGGTGCTGGGATCGAGCCCCGCACCGAGCTCCTTGCTCGGCGAGAAGCCTGCTTCTCCCTCTCCCCCTGCTTGTGTTCCCTCTCTGGCTGTGTGTCTGTCAAACAAATAAAATCTTTCAAAAATGATAAAAATATGCGGGGGATGCGCGTCTGAGTAGGGCTTATGGGGAACGTCCTCTGGGGGTGGGGCTTGCGGGGACCCGGGTGGCGGGATTCCGCCAGCGGGCCGGGGGAGGGGCGCCGGCCTGGGGCCGGGGGCGCGTCTGGCCTCCGCGCATTCCTAAGGATCAGGTTACCGGCCAGGGCGATGGCCCCTCCCCTCCCCTCCTGGCGCGCTTCCGCCCTCGCCGCGAGCGGGAACCAGTCACCGCCCCCGTCCTGTGCAGGTGCTTGGCCGGCCGCAGGGAGGGGATCCACACCCAGTCCTCCGGGCTGGCACTGGCGCTTTCCCGTCTCGCAAGACCATTTTACGGACGAGGAAACTGACGCGTGGTCAGCTTCCTTCAGCACCGATGGAACCAGACCGACAGAGCCCGCTTTCCGACCGGTGGCCCTGTTGGCTGCACCCGGAGGCTGCAGTGTCCCCAGCCTCCCGCAGGCCCAGAAGAGCCTCTCAGCGCCGTGTTCGTTGATTGATCGGCCAGAGTGAGCCCAGAAGGGCGCCCGCGCACAGGAGAAAACAACTTCTCACACCACCTTCCCCGCTCCGCAGGATGAGCAAGATTCCTGCGCTCATCCAGCGAACGTTTAATGTGCATTTGCTGTATACCCAGGCCCGCGTTAGGCCCTTTCCCAGGCAGACTTGGGGAAACCCGAAGGTTTGGGGGTCGGAGGGTGGTGAGTTCGACTTTGCTAAACCGACTTCAGAAGCTGATTTGCTTTGGTTTTGGTTTTGTTTCGGCCAACCTCCAGCAGCATCATTCAGCCATTCCACCACCCTCTACTGAGCACCTACTGTGTGCCCCGCCCTGTGTGTCGGGCCAGCGTCTTCCACCATCCCTCATCACCCACTGAGCTGATACTCCCAAACGAGACAGGAAATACCCACCATAAATGAAGAAGTACGCTTTAGGCTGATGTCAACTATTTCTCCTTTAGATCGACCCCCTTTTCTGTTTTTACTTCAGTAAATGTATTTCAAAAGGGAAACTTCATGTCACCACCAAGAATGGAAAACCAGTTTCTCTTGCCATAAATAGAAAGAAACTGAAAAACGATGAAATGAGAGCAAAACCCAGGA